TAATTTGTTAAAATGAATAAAATTAATGCTTTTGTCAATAGTATGCGGTAGTAAAATTTTCTGTCATAAATAAGACCATGCAAAGATATGTGATAGCTTTGTTTCGCATTAAAGAAATATTCCCACAGCGTGATTACAAAAGAAAAAAGGAAAATGATATAAGGATTTCATAACTAATATTACACGGCACAAAATAGGTATTATTGTCCTTGATATGGCAATTGTGAAAATGCATTTAAAATAACAATATCTGTAGTACCAATAAGAATATATATATATATATATATATATATATATATATATATATATATATATATATACACTTCTTATTGAAAGATTTGGTGAGTTGAAATTACAAATATGGATTTAATATAACCCATCTTAAGCTGTAGGAATCGTTCAATTTATCAGAAACCATTTTAACGCAAATTTATGTTATTTTTAGAGGTACAATAAATATTTTTATTTTTAATATTGTCATTTTAAGAATAATAATACCAATTTTGTACCGCGTAATATTAGTTATGAAATCTTTATGGCATTTATATATATATATTGGTTAAAACAATGAAACTTAGTAAGTACCAAAAAATGCCGGCTTTCAACAGTCGGTTTTGACAGAATGACGAATTCCAATTTCAAAATTTGTTAGTTCAGTAATTATAGTTATATTTCTAGTTGGAAAATTTATAATATCTGTAATATCTGTACAGACAATGAGTAAGTTGCTTTCAGAGTAGGTGATAGCAGTATTGAAATATAGAACTGTGAATAAAGGTATACATTTTCCTACAAGAAATATCACTAAAATTAGTAATCAAAAATGTTGAAATTAGAGTTAGTCATTCGGTCAACTGGAAAGGCTCATATAACAGATGGTAAGATGTTTTTTTTTCTGCAATGTTTATGTAAATATCCCCCGCTTACTTAAAGATATGCACATTACATTAAACTAAATGAATAATTATAAAGAGAGAGAAAAAAAGTTTCATTTCTTACTTCCTCTGCAAGGTATGGTAAAGAAACCGTGCTCAGGCGATTTTCGCGGTTTATTTAATATGTAATTATTATTATAATAAAATTACAAAAATAATTTTAAATTATTATAATTTTTTATTACAGATATATAAATTTATAATAAAGCTCAGATTATTTCTATAAGCCATTTAGATTAATTACACTTTTCAACCATACTCATCAAATTTATTTAAAATTAGACGTCTGTAGTCCGTGTTTTTGGATCATTTTAAATAATCAATGGCGGTTACATTAATAAATATATTTTGACAGAAAAAAAAATTGAAAAGTTAAATAATCATAAGTTTCCAGATTCGGTTCTTCAGAATCATTCGTAAAATAATTTACCCTTCTTCGTAAGAGAATTTTTCAGAGTTATAGTCAGGGGCAGAAGAGAATTCAAATTGCCCCGTTAAAATTTTTGAAGACACATTTTTCAAAGGTTATGATTTTTTTAAAGAAACAAAAAGTACTCGAATGGTTAAGACATAATAGAAATCTTGGGTGAAAAACTTTAAAATGTACAATATGCTATCGAACCTATGTATATCGAACATCCATATATCGATGGGGTCTGTATATCGATCAATTATTAGAAGCTTTTAATTATTATTAGAAGTAAATATTATCTATATCAAACATATTAAAAAAATCACATTTTAAAATATATAAAATCCAATTAATATCAGTAAGGGTCCTTAGCTTACGTTACGTTAAGAAAGAATAATAATTATAAAAATTAAGAACCTCTTTGTTTTACATAAATAAATAAAATTCCAACACATAAATAAAATAAAATAAATACATAAATAAATAAAATTCCTTAAAGACCATTTTTAAGAAGAAAGAATTGTGGTACCCAAGAGAATCTCTGAATGCCTTTCATGACACAATCTTGGTATTTTCTATATTGGTATTTTGGTCTAAATGAAATGATATTTGTACAGAATCTTTTATGTACCTTATTTTTTTTCTTGTTCCAGATATGGAGGTGTAAAACCTATTTAATTATAGTAAATATAATTCAGAACTAACTAATATTTTGATTTTCGAGTTCAATCATTATGAAAAGGTTTTAGTTTTTTCAGCATTTTCAGCTCTTTGTTTACATTGAAGTTTAGCAAAATGTCAAATTTGCTACCAACAATGGGGAAAAAAAACAAAATAGATCGATAGAGGACCAACAACGTTTTCATAGACCGGAAGATGTTTATATTTTAGTATTTACATATTTTAGTATGTTATTTTTGTATTTTAGTATGTTATTTTTTTATTTTAGTATGTTATTTTTTTATTTTAGTATGTTATTTTTTTGCTTTTATGCGTCCTCCCCTTCCTCGCCTCTTGGGATATACGGGGTTTTCCCGGGCCAGATGATGAGTGCTGGGGATTAACGCCAGAATTAAGCCCTCTCTCCCTCCACTATGGCACCGGGACGCAACTTACCCCGTGATTATTTTTATGTATTATATCATATATCAGGTTGCTGAACAACGGCGGTGCTGTTGACACGCGTTAACCCACTCGGCCACCCCGCCCCTCCCCCTGCATGTATGTATTCGCCATCCTAAAATATGAAATTGCTGCTAAGTTATTCCAACTTATTCCGTAAATTTAAGTTCACTTTTTTTGTTTTTTCGGCGTTTTGGTACCTCCAGAAACACAATGCGTTCTAGCGACGATAATGTCATATATGTTACATATGTAATCTTATATAAGATTAAAGTTGACAAAGTCTTCAACATAATTGATTATATTCATCTTTCCGCTAACAAGTTGCATTAGGTTCTAAAATATCCGTCCTCTTAATTCAAAAATTTCAAGATAAAAAAAAATTATAAAATATACATATTGGTTTGTGTAAACATTTAAAGCTGTGTAATAACGAAAAGTAAGAAAGTTAAATATTTCCGCTAAATCTCTGAATTAACGCATAAATTTAAAAGAGGATTGAAGATAAAATAGTTGAATTAACATATATTTTTGAAGGAAATGTGCAATAACTTTATTTTTATTGCAAAACAAAAGATAAATACTTAGCTAGGAAAATAAAGAGAAAAACTGTTTTTGTTTTTTTTTCGAAATTAAGGAATTATAAACATGGATATTTCGGGACCTGTACAAGATACCAAAAAAATTAATATAATAAATTCTATTACAAATTTGTAAGTTTTAATTTAAAACAGAACATACTATTCCTTAGTAGAACACAAATTTTCCCCTGATGAGAACCAGAAAGCGGAAAACCGAAAAAAGTGAAAAAAAATATATAAATTTTCAAGTTGAAATCTCAGGGAATCAACTGACACTCATTTCATGTTTTAAGACGGTAAATACTATAAATATAGATGGTTGGTTCTCTTAGCATCTTCCGGTTAAATAGAACCTTTTTTTCTTTAACTGCAAGGGTCTACTTTTTCTAGAACCGTTTTTAAGAAGGAGAGAACAATAAAATTTCTTGGAAGGGAAGACATGTGCCATTGTCCTTGGGGTGATGGGGGCTCCTTACAGTCCTCGAAAAACAATAAATTTTTAATTTGACGGCAGAAGAAATATCTATATAATATTGGCAACATTTTAATATGATCAACAAAATTGTAGATATTTACATTACAAACATAATTATAAATAAAATCGTATAATTACTTTTGTAAATATTTCATAAGTCCAACTGTTTCATACGTACAATGAAGCCGAAACAGAAGCTAACTCAAACGACTATTTATTATACCGTCGGTACCATGTTAAAAATTACATTTTTCAATTTCGTTCGTTTACCACAGCTTCACCTTGTGGCGAAATGTGTTATCTGCACGAAAATCGGAAGACCAAAACCAGTAATATTTTTACGAATTATATCTTTGATAGATATGTAAATTTTGTAGTAACGTTAATCACAATCGAAAGTTTACATAGGGCAAATATTCACATTCCTTGCTTTATCATGGTGCCGAAGATAGTTTAATTTTTTTTTTTTTCTTTTAACTCTATTTTGGTTTAAGAGTTTACAAAAACTTGTACATTAAGCGTGATCTCATATTTATTTATTATTTCTTTCTTTGATAAATTATTTATACTATTTAGCACTTCAATGAAATAAAAAAAAAAATACATGAAACTAAAGGCTGAAACTTTTGCGGAACTTTTTTTCGAAGTTCGATTTTTAACGTTTCTATTAAAACATTTTTGGAAATAATGTTTCTTTTATAATTTAATTATACTATCTAATACTTCAAGAAAATATAATAAAATATATATAAAACCAGGGGCTGAAACTTTGATTAAAAAGTTTCATTTTAACAGTCACTGTTTAACTTTTTTGTAAATAAATGTTTAAAAATATAAGATCAAAAGAACTTAATCTTATGGTAAGTAAAAGTTATGGTAAAAGTATAACTTTTATTTATATAATACTTTTTAAAAAAAAACTAGGTTAAATGAGAAATAAGCATTGATTAGGCTTAAATTAGCCTTATAATTTTTCTTTAATGATTTTATTGTTTTTTTTTTTTAGTAGATAAGAATAAAAATAATTTTTCTGATCGACTTTATGTTGAAATCAACAAAACTCAAAAAATAAAAGTTCTGTAAAACCTTTATTTGATAAGTTCCAAGGGAAAATTTATAATTTTGAAAAGAAAATAAAGATTTCGCGTATACCGAAACTGATTAAAAAGAAAAGAAAAAAAAATTAATTTCGAGCCCAGTATAAAACTGTACTTCATACATCCTCAAGGGATACATGAGGGTAATCACAGGAATTTTTTATAATACTTCCGAGAACGAATTACTGATCTAACGAAATCGGTTCCTTCCCAGAAACGTATCATTAGAATACAGTAATGACCCTTGCCAATTTATATTATTACGGGATTCGAACTCCCACTTTTGCCTCTTGCGAAGTCTGAACCAATTTCGAACTGACGTACGCCGTGTCGGGGAAGACTACACAGCTGATGCGTTGAGAACAATTGGCCAAGAAAATGTTAGACCTTGACCCGCGATCCACTTGCAGCTGCCCGGTCTCGCACCCAGACAATGGGACAATATCTCTACGAGTTAATCACGGCATCGTTAGAAATCTGATAAGGCAACAGACTCATTACTGTTACGCAGAATAACAAACGGGGAAGAGTATTGTGGGATGAAAACATAAACTGTTGAGTAATTATTAGTAAATTTTTTTTTTTTGCTTGGGGGGAGGAGTATTGATAAGATTAACTCCATTTATAACAACAGATTGTATCACATTACAAACAAATATTCACGAGTAATTAGTTTTTTTTTTTAAAAAAAAAAACAACTTACCTTGTAAAAACTCCCCACTGGTCCCAGTAGAAACTATTGGATGAATACAAATAAAAAATAAAATAAAAACGTAATAACTACGTAACCGAAATTAAAAGCTATGCTACTAAAGTAAAAGAGAAGATTAACTGAAGCCTATATAACGAAGGCGAGACGAGGACTGGACAAAGATAGCCGACGGAACAGCTGATTCTGTCCCCTAAGGTCCTCCCCCCTCCCCTCCCCTCCACAACCCCTGCTGCGCTCTGTGCCCCCACTGCGAACTACACGGTCTTCTCTTGGCCTTATTTCGTACTTCGCGATTAAGATATACACAGTTGGAGAATCAAAACTTTTATTTTTAATCTTGTTTTTTTAAGGAATTTTACAAATGAGGTTTTTCCTTGACACGAATCCGTAAAATAAAAAATGTCCTGTCCTTTCTCCGAGACTGGTCCAACCCCCATCTCTACGTCTGGTACTGTAGACAGCGAAAAAAAAAGATAATTAAAACTACGAATTTCTTTTAGAGTAATATAAAAAAAACTGAAAGAAATTGAAAACATTCTAATTTCAAAATAAATACAGGACGGTCTTGATAATCAGTACCAGAAAAAGTACAAGGTTTCAGTAGTCGAGTTTGTATCAATTATCCCACTCTGAGCAAGTATTAAACGCCTGTTATGGCGTTTCTATAACGAAAAACAAAATAGGTTAAAAATAATTTTCAGGTGAAATAAAAAACATAACTCACAGCTTCTTTTTAAATCCTCAAGCCAATCTTACTGGAATTAAAATCTACATTGTCATCCTTCGGAAAAAATTATTAAGAAAACCATAGACTTCTCAGATAATATATTCTCGGAAATTGAACACACTCGTTATCTCTGCAACTAAAACCACATATAAAGAGATTCCACAACTTCTGAATGACCGCCTAGTTTTAATGTTTTCCGTTTAGAGAAACCAAAATACAGTACTCGACACTACAACACGAAGATATTCCATATGTACTGAGAAACAAACCCATTTCATTCCGTTTCTCATCAGTCAACTTTAATTTTTTTTTCTTTTTTGTTCGGATTATCAGGGATTTCGAGACTGTCCTTTACAGCGTTTTAACAGTAACGGGTTAAATTGAAATTTTGATAAAAATTATAGGCGCTGGTGGCACCAAAGGGGGGCATGACATTTTCTGACCTTCCCCTGTATGTTAGGAAGGTTCACCAACCCCTATATATTTCGCTTTCTTAAAAATAACTTTGAAAATTGAAAATTTTAATGTAATATATAATGTTACTCTTCAAAAACTGTTTTATATTTTATTCATTTTTAGAAGCTTCCAATGCTCTGTTTTCCTATCCATTTACTTGGAAGTCATCAATATTGTTTATCATTTTTTTTTTCAATCATAGATTGCCGCTATTTTTTAGATTTTTATTTTTTACATTTTCTCTAAAGCCGAGCTCTGGTCGCGGAATAATCAAGCCCGGTAGGTCAATTATTGAACGTTGGAAATGGAGATGGCAGGGGCATACGCTTAGGAAGCATCACAACGACATAACACGGCAGTCTATAGTGGAACCCCCAAGGACAGCGAAGACGCGAACGGCCTAGAAAAACATGGAGGACTCCGGAGAAGGAAACGCGCAGCACCGGACAGATCTGGAGTCAAGGAGCTGGCTAAAGATCGAGTTGCATGGCAGAACTTCGTGATGGCCCTATATTCCACCTAAGGAATTATAGAAACTAATAATAACAATATTAAATAGAATTATATTAGTAATTTCAATATTTAACTTATAATAAATTAAATAACAAGTAATAATTTGTTCTAAGCCATAAAATAAATAAATAACCTTTTGGACTTGCTGACAATTTATATATTAAAATAATCAAAATTAAAAATAACTAGTTGGCCGATGCGAATAATTCACAGAAAATTTTGTTTAGTGAAGAAATAGCAAAACAATATGGAAATAAGTAGTTCCTATTTATTATGTAAGGGAGGAATTAATATTTTTTCCTTGTCGATTACAATATTCCATTTAACGTAATAGATCAAATATTTTTACAAATTGCTTTACTAGGACCTATTTTTAAACGCTGACTGTAAAGATATTATAAGTAATAAAGAAAAAATAATGTCCAGATCATGGGATTTTCTAAATTATTAAAAAAAAATAAAATGTAAGACAAAACAAATACCTTTAAGAAATAAAAAAGTTAATATATCAGCCAAGAAAAAAGTATAGTAGACTATTCTACTTCTAAATGCAATATCTTTAAAGAGGAAGACATTATTAAGTATACCAAAAATAATGGACTGTATATTTGTTAATAATTGTCCGATTTTTTTTTAGTAATCTTTCTAATTATCATGGGCTCAATTCAAGAAAAAAATGCATACTTTTTGAGTTATTCGCGAATAAAGTTTCTTTTACTTCATAACTTTTATTTTCTAGAAATTTCGGGGGGATATGACTATTTTTCGCAGCGGAAGAATATCTTCAAAATGAGTGGTCAATCATTGGATTTGATTAAGAATTGACGAAATTATGGCGCACCGACAAAAAAATACCTTTTAGAAATAATATATAGGATAATTCGGCATGATTGTAAGCTTTGCGTTATTAGAGCTCCTGAAAGTCCATTTTATCATTGACCTTAGTAAATTTAATCACTGTATTCTAAAAGAAAATTTAGTCTACTTTATGGTGTACTTAGAATTTAATTATCTTGAACAGTTTTTTAGCAATTCCTCCGTATTCAATAAAAAACATGACAAGAAAAAAAATTGAACTTGATTCCTTTTCTGTTCGGAATATGACCATGCATCAAATGTATTTTTTGTTGGAAATTTGATCTAGAATAATCATCTAGACCTTGGCTATTAAGAAGTGAGAAACTCCCTGAAGTACTTCACACATCTATTTATTGAAATACTAATACTCATATTAAAATGTTGAACATATTTTTCACTAACATCATGAGCTGTCGCGTTGATCGTCTTGGAGATAAACAGGTTTGCTCGGTAAACAGTCATTGGTCCTTCGTTTCACCTGAGTTATTATGTTGAGTCGTGCTTCCGTATCCAATGTAAGCACCTATATTCGGTCTGAGTCTTTGTTTATCTGAAGGCCTAACCTATATAAAAAAATACGAGAAATACTTTTCCAATATAAGGGCATTCTAATTATGATTATTAACAGGAGTGCCCATGGCGTATGAATAATCTCCCTCTCCAAAAATTGAATTACTTACTTCTTAAAAACAATGCAAACGAAATAGTCCGTGTTACAGACCTCTTTTTATCAAATTATTAACATCCGCCTGAAACTTCGTAAATAGTTTCTTTTTTTTTTTTTATGGTGAAGGTCTTTCATTGTTTTGTGAGAAACATGAAATCAATAAAGGCGCAGCCTAATGTGGAATGAGTAACGGCTTATGCTAAAATATCTAAAGAACAGCCGGTATTTTACAATTAATTTCTTACCATCTTTATAGTTAGAAATTATCCGCATAATTTTACTTTCAGTTTCTGTGATTGCTTTATAATATTAGTACTGATTCAATAATATATCCTAAAACCGACATCGTTTTGATATCTCTTAATTATATAAAACAGTTATTGGAAACTAAAATAAATAAAAGTTTATGTAGTAATAATAGTTTTATTTTACATATACAAAACGAGAAAGATCGTAACGAAGACACTACACTTCTTAATCCCAAAATTATTTCTCATTTATTATGGTTACTATTTTCAATAAGAATAATTTTAATTATATAAAAACATAAATTGGCAATAAGGCGCGATTTATAATATAAATTTTTCAATAAATTTAAAATTGTCTGAACTGTAGTTTCGTTCCTTTTATTTTATTTAATAAAAATAATACAATCTGAACAACAGAATACATGTAAATTACAGTTATAAATTTTTATCAAAGATTAGTACAATTAAATGAACAGTCGTATGATTTGCAAAATGGGGGTTGGTCCGTCGTTAGGAAGAAAGAATTTTCATGTCAACTAAAAAAACTAAAAAAAACAACTAATATTAATGGTATATAATGATGTACCATTACCGTCATATGATAAAAAACAATTGCCTATTTTATTTGTTTTTATGTAGGTTTTTTTTTTTCACTTTTTACTACTACCTCAACTTACAATAAGGTATGTTACATATATTTTATAGTATGTATTGCTATGTTTAAAAATCATTAATGAAATATAATTTGTTGTATTATAAGGATAAGGAATTCGTTCGTAACCGTGTCTAAAATTATTCTATACTGCTTAATAATGAATAGAGATATTTTATATTATGGTTAATTTATTTATTTTAATTAATATTTATTGGTTCGCTCTTATTTATTAGTAAACATAAAAATTAAACAAGTATTCTTTATTTTAATAAATTATTAACTAAAAGATAATCATCATGAAGAATACTCATTTTGTTAACTAACAGTTGTTTTCGACTTTTCTCGATTTAAATCCAGTAATAGTCTATCAAACCAAGGAAGGAAAGACATATTGAACCAGAAGTTCACAATATTACCGGGAGAATGAGGGTTCAAGGGCACTGCCAAGTGGATATCGCCGATACAGGTGGCATCTCCTAGATTGTGGCCCCCCGAGCTTTAACCAGATTTAGAAAAACCGGAAATATTGGTATTACTGCAAGAAGTGGCCCTTTTCATAGAGCCCGAAAAATAGCAGGGACGAGGTTGCGGAGCGGTTTGTGAGGTATTAGGTTTGCATTTCAACCTGATAACTGAAGTTGGAGACAATAAAATAATTATGAGTTCACGTCCCGGTGCCTGGTTGGGCTTTTAACTGTGACACTAATGCCCCGCTACCATCCTCTGACCTGGGAAAACCCCCGTGTAGCCTAAAAGGCGAGCTAGGAGAGAAGAACAGGAAAAAAAAGTGTCTGTACGAGCATAAAGGAAGTGTTGAATGTTCTACCAAGGCTCATATCAATACCATTCGTAATCGTTTGTGGGAAGTTGGTCTAACATCTTATGCTCCTTTAAGAGAACCTGCAATAACGGTGCGTCGTCAGTAACTCCACAGATCATGGTGTAGCGAGCGACTATATGAGGGGGCGGTGTGGCCGAATGGGCTAACGTGTGTGCACAGCACGGCAACCTCATATATAGATAGTGCCGGGAGAGATTTTTAAATCCCCGCCCTCACCCTCTGACCCGGAAAACTCGATATAGCCTTAAAGGCGAGGAAGAGGAGGACCAAAAAAAGAAGAGCGCCTATATGAGGATACAAATTGGAATGTCGTTATATTTACAGACTAGTCACGTTTCTGTATTTATACAGATCGCAGGCGCCGAAGAGTCTACTGAGAACAGAGAATGAGTATACTGCCACAGTTTGTGCTTCCTTCAGTCTAGAGGTGCAATCTACTCCATATTGTGGAAAGTAATCTCATTGCTGTTTTTGATGTTCAAGAAATTATAGAGGAGTACATTCCTCAAACCAAAGCCATAATTGGCATAGACTTTCATTTTCTAGATGACAATATGTGACCTCATAGGGGAAAAGTTGTTCATCAATGTCATGTAAATCTGGACATTTCACTTCTGTCCCTTCCCGTATTGTCTTCACATCTCATTCCCACCGAGCATATATGGTATGCACAGCAGATAAGGCTTTTCGATCACCATTTTCTGACACCAACTGAGAGCAGTATCATCCTTGTGAAATCAGTGACAACATTATAAACAGTATGTCCAATATGTGCAGAGAGGTAATAACAGAAGACATTACAGAAATCATCAAATTTTATAAATTTTTTACGATTCGCAATCATAAAAATAAGATCACAAAAACTTTTTATTTTATTATTTTTTTCTTAACCATTTTCAGCAGAAGATCTCTAGGCCACTGCCTTTTTAGTCGTCGTTGAGGCTCACCAGGTAACAGGGAGGAAGATAGAGATAGAACGAGGAGATTTGGATGAATTAGGGTAGAAGAGTGAAATGTTTTGTATTTGTTGTGTAGGATTTTACGTTTGATATGTTTATGGCTGTGGCTATGGCGTGATTTGAAATAAACCAAGGAGCATTGATGATTTTACGAAGTATTTTGGATTGTGTGGTTTGAATTTTGTTTATGTGTGTGTGTTTTGCGGAATCCCAAATTGCTGCTCCGTATGTCCAAATAGGTCTTAGTATAGTGGTGTAGATTAGTCGCTTGTTTAGTAAGTTGAGTGGAGATATGTAGTCCAAGAGATGTGACAGTTGTTTGTATCGTCTAGTCAGTTCTTGTTATTTTTAATTTAGTGTGGATGTTCCAGGTGAGTTTTTTGTCCAAGTATAGTTGGAGATACCTTACATGTGTTTTTGAGGGAACTGGCTTATTGTCTATTGTCACAGCAGGACACGAGATCTTCCTCAGGGAGAAGCTAACATGGGTTGACTTGCTGGGATTGATGTTAATTCTCCATTTGTGCAACCATTTGTCAAGGCCGTGCAGGTGATTTTGAAGGGCTATTGAAGTGATAGTGGGATTTTTGTGAGAAGAAAGTATTGCCGCATCGTCAGCAAAGTTATAGAGAATAATTTAAAAAAAAAAAAACTTTTATAAAATTTCCCGAGGTGAATTACAACTTTTCTTAATATTACTTTTCTATGTATTTTATGATAAAAATAAAATAAATATATCTCTTTTTATT